TATATATATTATTATTATTTTTTTTTTTTTTAAGCATAAACCTCAGAATTTTGTTAATTTAATTAGGTAAATTTATTAGAATAATTATAAATTAGAAATAGAATTGACTAGAAACTAGAAAAAATATGTATGTTGTTTTAAGGATGTTTCAATATTTTTATATTTTATTATAGAAAAAATACAATACAAAGATAAAAAATTTACATTTATAGATTTTTTTTTTGCATCAATCTTACAGAACTTTGTTAGATTTAATTAGGAAATGTATTAGTATAATTATAAATGACAGAAATACTAAGTAATTGACAAGAAAACCAGAAAAAAAAAAGCTCCACATTTTTCTAGTAAAAATATGCGATATGCAATATGATCTTAAGTATATTCAGAAATATTTTATTAAAAAAATTATTATAACGTATAAATAAATAATTATTTTAATGTATAAATATATTTTCTTACAATTTGTTATATTACTATATAATATAATAAATTATATTTGTATATAAATATAATTAATTATAATTTATCATATTATAATTATATGTAATAAATACATAAATATAATGAATAATGATGAATTCTAAATCTCCCTCTTCTCTCAGCGATCCAGACGTCTCTGCGTCTCTCCGCTGAAGGCCGGGTCTCGCTGCACGAGGAGCTGAAGGAGCGGCGGCGGGAGCTGCGCGAGGAGCGGGAGAGGAGGCGCGCGCTGCGGGCGGAGGAGACGCGGAGGCTGCTGGAGCTGCAGGGGGAGCGCGAGGAGCAGCTGGCTGAGCTGGAGCTTCTGAAGGAGGCGCAGAGACAGGCTCAGGTCTCCCTGCAGCAGGAGGAGCAGAGGAGGCGCAGCCAGCACGAGGAGCTGCAGAAAACCCTGCAGAGACAGCTACAGGAGGCGCAGGAGGTGAACCGGACGCTCAGAAACAGACCAGAACAGTTAGACATAATAGTTACATTTGATCTGAAAGTGCGCAACTTCTTAAAGTTTTAAACAAGTGTTAAACTATATTTTTACATAATTTAATTAAATGATTAATTAAATTCATTTAAAATTGTTTAATTAAATTAAAATCTAAAAATGACAAGTTGAGTATGTGTGTGTGTGTGTGTGTGTGTGTGCGTGTGAGTGTGTGTGTGTGTGTGCGTGTGTGTGTGTGTGTGTGTGTGTGCGTGTGAGTGTGTGTGTGTGTGTGCGTGTGTGTGTGTGTGTGTGTGTGTGCGTGTGAGTGTGTGTGTGTGTGTGCGTGTGTGTGTGTGTGTGTGTGTGTGCGTGTGAGTGTGTGTGTGTGTGTGCGTGTGTGTGTGTGTGTGTGTGTGTGCGTGTGAGTGTGTGTGTGTGTGTGCGTGTGTGTGTGTGTGTGTGTGTGTTTGTTTGTGTTTGTGTGTGTGTCAGGCGCGGGCGAATCTTTGTGCAGAGGTGGCGGTTCGCGATCTGGAGGCCGAACATCAGCAGCGGAGAATCAAAGAGCTGGAAGATCTTCATCACAGACTGCAGGAAGCTCTAGAGCAACAGATCAGAGCGAGACAGGAGGAAGAGACGTACAGATACACACAGACCAGGTACACACACACACGCACGCATGCATGCATGCACACACACTCTCACACACACACACACACACATGCACACACACTGCTTCAAAATGCCAAAAGAAGAAACAGGAGCAAGAGACAAAAAACAGAAAGTAGGCAATTTATTGAAAACTGCATTTAAACTCAAACAGGCTGTTCATCAGCTGATCAAAAGTTTAAAACCATAGCCTTAAAAAGTCAAAATCTGTGCAAAAATATGGCTTTCATGTCATTGTTCTTCAGACAGTCACACTGTCATGATTTCCGGATGGCAAAAAGGCTTTCTGTGTTTGAACGTGGCAGGATTGTTGAGCCGCACAATCAAGGGCTCTCACAACGCGCGTTGGGTTTAGTTGTATTAGCAGTGATATTTCTGGTGTTTAGCTATTTTTAGCATTGATATTTCTGGTGTTTAGCTGTGTTAACATTGATTTGTCTGGCGTTTAGTTGTATTACCGTTGTTATTTCTGGTATTAACTGTGTTAGCATTGATGTTTCTGGCGTTTAGCTGTGTTAGCATTGATGTTTCTGGCGTTTAGCTGTGCTAGCATTGATGATTCTGGCGTTTAGCTGTACTAGCATTGATGTTTCTGGCATTTAGCTGTGTTAGCATCGATGTTTATGATGTTTAGCTGTACTAGCATCAATGTTCTTGTGTTTAGCTGTGCTAACATCGATGTTTCTGGTGTTTAGCTGTGCTAGCATCAATGTTTTTGGTGTTTAGCTGTGCTAGCATCGATGTTTCTGGCGTTTAGCTGTGTTAGCATTGATGTTTCTGGTGTTTAGCTGTGTTAGTGTTGATGTTTCTGGCGTTTAGCTGTGTTAGCATTGATGTTTCTGGTGTTTAGCTGTGTTAGTGTTGATGTTTCTGGCGTTTAGCTGTGTTAGCATTGATGTTTCTGGTGTTTAGCTGTGCTAGCATTGATGATTCTGGCGTTTAGCTGTACTAGCATTGATGTTTCTGGCGTTTAGCTGTGTTAACATCGATGTTTATGATGTTTAGCTGTACTAGCATCAATGTTCTTGTGTTTAGCTGTGCTAACATCGATGTTTCTGGTGTTTAGCTGTGCTATCATCGATGTTCTGATGTTTAGCTGTGTTAGCATCGATGTTTCTGGTGTTTGGCTATGCTAGCATCGATGTTCTGATGATGTTCTGATGTTTAGCTGTGCTAGCATCGATGTTTCTGGTGTTTAGCTGTGCTAGCATCAATGTTTTTGGTGTTTAGCTGTGCTAGCATCGATGTTTCTGGCGTTTAGCTGTGTTAGCATTGATGTTTCTGGTGTTTAGCTGTGCTAGCATTGATGATTCTGGCGTTTAGCTGTACTAGCATTGATGTTTCTGGCGTTTAGCTGTGTTAACATCGATGTTTATGATGTTTAGCTGTACTAGCATCAATGTTCTTGTGTTTAGCTGTGCTAACATCGATGTTCTGGTGTTTAGCTGTTCTAGCATCGATATTTCTTGTGTTTAGCTGTACTAACATCGATGTTTCTGATGTTTATCTGTGCTAGCATCAATGTTTCTGGTGTTTAGCTGTGCTAGAATCGATGTTTCTGATGTTTAGCTGTGCTAGCATCGATGTTTCTGGTGTTTAGCTATGCTAGCATCGATGTTCTGATGATGTTCTGATGTTTAGCTGTGCTAGCATCGATGTTTCTGGTGTTTAGCTGTGCTATGATCGATGTTCTGCTGTTTAGCTGTGTTAGCATCGATGTTTCTGATGTTTAGCTGTGCTAGCATCGATGTTTCTGGTGTTTAGCTGTGCTAGCATCGATGTTCTGATGTTTAGCTGTGTTAGCATCGATGTTTCTGGTGTTTAGCTATGCTAGCATCGATGTTCTGATGATGTTCTGATGTTTAGCTGTGCTAGCATCGATGTTTCTGGTGTTTAGTTGTGCTAGCATAAATGTTTCTGGTGTTTAGCTGTGTTAGCATCTATGTTTCTGGTTTATAGCTGTGCTAGCATCGCTGTTCTGATGTTTAGCTGTGCTAGTATCAATGTTTCTGGTGTTTAGCTGTGCTAGCATCGATGTTTCTAGTGTTTAGCTGTGCTAGCATCTGTGTTTCTGGTGTTGAACTGTGCTAGCATTGATGTTTCTGGTGTTTAGCTGTGCTAGCATCGATGTTTCTGGTGTTTAACTGTGTTAACGTCGATGTTTCCTGTGTTTAGGTGTAGTTCAGTGTTGAGTTTCATTCTAGTATTTAGCTAAGCGTTAGCGTTTTGGTTCTGTGTTTGCAGGCTGCTGGCGGAGGAGGAGGAGAAGGTGAAGTCTCTGCTGGCGCTGCAGGAGGACCAGGAGGAGCAGCTCCAGCAGACCCAGCGCGAGAAGCAGGAGCTCCTGCAGGAGATGGAGAGGAAGTCACAGGCTCTGGACGAGGCCCAGAACCAACTGGACAAAGTGCGGGCCAGCCGACGCAGAGTGGACCAGGATATCGTGGTGAGCTCAACGCCGCGCTAGTGTCGCGTTCTTCACGTGTTCCTCCACACTCATGAATGTGTGTCATCCACAGGCCGCCCAGCGTAAACTCCGGCAGGCCAGTACGAGCGTCAAACACTGGAACGTGCAGATGAACCGCCTGATGCACCCCATCTGCCCTGGAGGTTTGTTATGTTCTTGTAGCATTAAAAATGCATAAAAACCGAGTTGATTTCTATTCTTCTGTCCCATTCTCTTAAAGAAAGGAGAGCGTCCTCCAGTAATCTTCTCGCACCTCCGGTCCGCATCCCCTCGGTCAGCGAGACCGAATCCAGACCTCCACCGAGACCCGAGAGAGAGAAACAGAACAGCCTCGATTGTGACAACAACAGCGGCTGCGATAATATGGACTGCAGCAACAATGAGAACAAAGAGCCAACTGATGCTGAGGCTGAATAAACCTGACAGAAATTAGTAGTTCTGACATAGCACTTAATAAACTTAAAGACATAGTTCAGACAAAAATGAAAATGTGCTGAAAATGTCCTCACCCTCAGGCCATACGAGATTAGGATGAGTTTGTTTCTTCATCAGGTTTGTAGAAATGTAGCACTGCATCAGTGTCTCAGCAACCTTATTATGGATTATGGACTCAATGTATTTTAGTTAAAAGTGTCTTAATGCTGGATTTGTTTCAGCTTTTGTCTTCTCCAGATGTTAACTGATGGACTGGAGTGCTGTGGATTACTTGTGATGTTTTTATCAGCTCTCGTTCTGACGGCACCCATTCACTTCCATTTGTGATCAAGTGATGTAAATTTTCAGCACTTTTTGTTGTTGTTGAGTTAACTATTTATTTACGAAATTGACTGTGAATGAACCATAGCTGAAGTCATAACGGAAACTGAAATATATTTTGTTGCTGTTGCTGTATGATAGACCCAGGCTGGTTTTTGGTGAAGCCGCTGTGGTTTGACTTCCTGTTTCCTGTGTGAACAGAAGATGCTGTGCTTGTGTAGATAAACTCACTGCCACGAGAGGAAATAAATGAGTAGAAAAACAAAAAGCGTGGAGTGTTTTATACATTTTAATAAAATCTCACTCAAATACTGTGAAGAAGCTCTTCAGAAAAGTTTGCCATTCGCGTTGCACAAATGAGGCACATGAGAACGTTATAAGTGGTTATACACTATCTGGATGCTAATGCAAAAATATCTAACACATTTGACATCCCCTCAAGTTTGCAGAGTCATTCGATCAGTTGTTCTCGTCGGTTTTAGACGGTGAACAGCGCCATCTGCTGGCGGTTAAATAAAGTGTGTTTGTGCAGCTAAAGAAAAACAAATCTTAAAAGCACGTTTTCAAATGCAGCACACGTGTGGATATGTATATAAACTAATATATAGCCTACACACGAGGTTCTTATAGGGTTAAGTGAAATGAGCCGCTATGACGTCATACCGGAGCGGGGCCGTGACGCGTGTGATCCGGAGCGCTCGCGCCGTCGGGACTCCCGTGTGATGAAGCGCAGCGCGTCCCGGTAAACATGAAACGTCTCGCGGACTCTCGCTGAGCCGACTGGAAAATAACGGAATAAAGTGTCGGGATCGTTCGTTCTGACTCGTAAGTTTGTTTTGTCACGCGCTCATGTGAGACTCTGATGGTTTATTTATTTATTTACCGAGACCGTGAAGTTTACGCTCATGTAAAGTTTTAGAGAGTTTTGTGTTGACGAGTTAAAGACACGTACCGATAGATGGATAGATGGATGGATAGATAGATAGATAGATAGACAGACAGATAGATAGATGGATAGATGGATAGATAGATAAACAGACAGACAGACAGATAGATGGATAGATGGATAGATGGATAGATAGATGGATAGATGGATAGATAGATAGATAGACAGACAGATGGATAGATGGATAGATGGATAGATAGATAGATAGATAGACAGACAGATAGATAGATGGATAGATAGATAGATAGATAGATAGATAGACAGA